ATTATGTGTAAAATTGCAAAAATATCATTCATTCATGCATGACGGCGATTTAAACCTAATTCACTTCAATAAAGATAACTATACATGCTATTCTTGTCATGAGCATTCAAGGTGTGGGGGCGCTGCGGTGCAAATTCCACTCATGTTTAGTACATGTTAACTCAAAGATTCGTACAAAAAATATAAACGTTGGACTCGATTGGAGTCGATTTTGTGTCAAGGAGCATGTTATTCGCAATTATGTGTTGTGGCTGGGGTGTTATAGGTCTGCGTGACTCTCGATGTCTTAGGCCTAATTGAACGGAGGAATTATGGTATTCTTCTGTAGCCTGACGACGAGTAACTTTAACCGTTGTTCATGTGAACTCAAAGACAGCCTGATGCTTTGTATATAGACTATTTGTGGGTGGCTGTTTGTTGTTTCACCTATCAATTTGTGTCGATAAAGTATAATAGGGTAAATCCTGTACAGTGATTTATCCTAGGCTATATAGTGCTTGCATAAAGCAAGTAGTGCATACACTTGTAGCTGTCATGTATCTTTGTAAGTCATTGTAAGCCCTCTTTTGAGGCAAGCGCACGAGCGCTTTAATTATTTATCAAGGTGTCCTGAAAAAAAATGTATCAGTTTCCAAAAAATATTAAACACCACAAGTGTTTTCAACATTGATAATAATAAGTAATGTTTCTTTAGCTCCAGATCAGCATTTTATAATGATTTCCGAAGTATCATGTGACACTGAAGACTGGAGTAATGACTGCAGAAAATTCCGCTTTGCCATCACAAGTATAAATTACATTTTAAATTATATTGAAACAGAAAACAGTCGTTTTAAATTTTAATAATATTTAACAAATTTACTGTATTTTTAATCATATAAATGCAGCCTCGGTAAGCATAAGAGACTTCTTTTACAAACATTTTACTGCCCCCAAACTTTTTGTAAGGTAGCGTACATTTATTTTGTTCCTGTTTTTGATTGCTCTGCTAGCACACAATATTTAAATGGTCGATTATTATGATGGCTCGTTTGCTAGGGGACTGGTGCTTTGACAGCGGTGCCTTTGAGCCATTTTCTCAGGGGGGCTAAATCTGTTAATTAATGAGCATGGTGAACTAACTCCTCTTGGCTCCGGCGACGGCGGGACCATGCCAAAGCAACAAACACAAACAGATGTGCGAGGCAATGGGACGGAAAACAAAATCCACATCATCTCGCAACGACGTGCTGCAAGTTATGTTGCGCATACTTCTCTACATCTTATTTTTAATTTTCTGTTAATGACGTCTAATTGCCGCAGCTGCTGTGGTCTCAGTCTCTGGGTCAGTGTGTCTTGGCAGGCCCGCGTAGCCAAGAGGCCTTTTTATTTATGGGTAGAAATGTGAACCGGGAGGACTACTTTTGATCGCTAGCAATTTATCTAATAAGGTGGAAAATCCTTAACCACATGTGTCTGAGGGTTTGGGGAGCGTGGCGTAGAGGGGGCGGCGTAGCTGTGCCGCATGGGGAGCTTGTGATCCCTGTTCTGAATGGAGAGTGGAGCTCAGGTAGGGTTTTAATTATGGTTCCCTACTTCCCCAGACTCTTCAGACGCACAGGCCTCACAGCTGGGACTCTGTCGGTCTCCAAACCCCCTACCTGATGCCATTGAACCAGAGAGGTGCTCTTGTATCCTTTTACTACAGTATTCCAAGCTCAATGGTGATCAGGTGGGGTGTGCTGATTGGATTCATGGGGTCTCATTGATCTCCACTCGTTGACGCACATACATTTTTGCACTCGTTATTGTAGGAGGGATCGATTGACCATGCTTGCCGTGCCAAAGTAAACTCATGTGGCGTCCTGACATCTTGGAACTCGGAAAACTTCCTACTTTAAAATAATCAGCGGAACTGAGCAGATGCATCAATCCTGACTTTTGTTAAATGTGCTATTTCATGTCCAAGATGGACAACTACTGTGCTCAGGCCATACAAATAATAAATAATAATTATATAAAATAAATATATAATATTGTTAAAATGTATAATAAAGCATTGGGTAGCAAGAAGTAACACTGAACATTTAAAAAAAAAATTTTTTTTTTACAAAATGTATTACTCTTAATGTTAATTTGTACATGCAAGTTGTAAAAATGAATGATTGTATTATGAAATAACAGGAACATCTAGATTAAAAAAAAAGTTAACAAATTTAATTAAAATTATTCAAAGTATTATTCAAAGTATTACCAAAATTATTTATTAAATTATTTATTAAATTATTTTAATGCAATTTTGCAGATTTTTAGTACTCAATTAAGTTCATTATAATTATAGTTAATGTAATTATAATAATTTATAACAATGAAATATTTTTATAAATTATTTCCAATCTAGATTCATGTTTAAAAATTGCTTTAAGATATTGAAACTGTTAATAAATTGAACCTTTTTGCAAAGTGTTAACAAAAGTATTTACATTTTTTTTATTTGTATATATTAAAGAAAACAATGTAATTTTGTCCAAGTAATTTTAAGTTTATTATAATTCTAATACATGTAATTCTAATAATTTATAACAATGTGCAGTAATATATTTGGAAAGTAATTTTAATCTAGATATTTTTTAAACCTTGCTTTAAAATATTATAATTAATGAACCCTATTGCGAAGTGTTACCAAAATTAAATAGTTTATTTCATTTTATATATTGAAGAAAACAATGCAATTTTATCCAAGTAATCATTAAGTTTATTGTAATTATAATCAATGTAATTATAATAATTTATAACAATGAACGGTAGAATATTTGTCAAGTAATTTTAATCTAGATATTTTTTTTTATATAATATTAAGTATTTCCTTATTTTTTTGCTTTTTATTTTTGTCAAAATCACACAAATTTTGCTGTCAAAAGTTTTATTTTTGTGCCATCATTGGCAATAAAAAAACAAAACTGGCTTGACACCATCTTGTTTGCTTTACATTTGATTGACCGTATGATTGGCTGCAAAGCTTGGCAATAGGGAATTTCAGCTTGACTGTTTCCACTGATTTAGTCTGGAGCACAGCATTATTTAGTCATCAGTTCCAACAATGAACGACAGTGATCAACAAGTGCAGGGAGACAGAGGCCCGCTGCCCTCTTGGCAAGCTTCTGTGGAGCAGGCAGCAGACGGGACATAGTCATCAATATCGGCAGCTGGCAATTGATTGGCTGTATTGATCAGGATGGGCAGTGGGGCCAGGGGAAGGAAAGGCCTGCTGGATCTCATCGGAGCAATTGTTTAGGGTCACTGACAAATTCAATTGCCTATCAGGGAGCGATCATGGAAACAAACGGCTTCTGTCGATGCAAGGGCTGTACCCCGTGGTAGCTGTCACTCAGTATTACTCTCGGTTTGGGAGAGCGTCAGGCGTTGTTTGCGCCCACACACGTCAGTTAGGTTACTGGGGCACTGGAGGGCAAACTCGTGCCCCCGATTGCCTACTGTGTCCTGTTTGTGGCCAACAAACTCTCAAGTTCTCTGCACTATACTGCTATCCTATTCATAGTCTGAATTAAAGCTGTATTGCCTCGAACAGCTTCCTAAAACCACAAACCTGCCCTTTTGTGACATTTGCTGAGTGTGTTCAAGTTGGCTGCTACTATTGACAGATAATGTCATTCATAGATTGCCCACAGTGACAAGCATTTTAGCTTTATAGGGTACTTTGATTTTGATTTTGGGCTTTCTTGTAAGTTTGTTGTTCTTGTCTTAGATCTTTTTTCCTTGCATGCTAGCATATTTTTTTGTGATTTTTATTTTTGACTTTTTATATTGTATTGTAACACTTGTGCACGGATCACTCCGCTGTGGCGACTCCTGATAAAAAGGGAGCAAGCCGAATGAAGAGAGATATTGTATTGTAGCACTGGACTTTTAGTTAGGTTGAGTGTTGGAAGAGTGTCAAATTTTCAAAATATCAAAAATATTTTAAATAGAATTTAGACTTTATTTTTTATTTAAAGACACCTAATATAAAGTAGGACACAAAAAATATTACATTAATAAGCAATGGCTATTATTGCTAGTATATATTTATGACTTTTTTGTTATAACGTTGTCAGTTTTTTTTGTCAATACAGTTTAATTTATATTTAAATTAAAATATTGCAAAAATAATGCAAAATACACCTACAAGAAGTGCAGGCAGTTTTTTTTTTAACTTGTTAAAGACATTTTTCTCATTTTGCTTTTGGTGAATGTTATTTTGCACTCCTGCATATATTGCAACAAAAATCTAATTTTCTGTCATATTCAACAGTAAAATACCTCAAAAGCTGAAAGCAATTCATTCTGTGCCCTGTTTACCCTGTATAACCGGAGTGAAGATTTTGCATGGTCATGTGACCTGCTGTTAAGGCTGGCTGCTTCTTCTGTTCAGGGTGTCAGATGAAACTTCTAACTGGCTTGCAGGGTCCTCAATCGAAAGAGTGGCCCGGGGCTCTTCATTAACTAATTACGGAAAACAGGAGCACCCTCCCTCATCCCTCTTCTCCACAGCAAGGCTTTTTTTTGAAGGGGGGTGTTTTTTGATAAGGTTTGCACTCTTGTCAACAAGCTCGTATTTAATTAGTGTTGATTGTTGTTAGCGTGTTCAATAGTTATTAATTAGAGCTGGGAGGGGCCCTCCACTTGATTGCATGCCCGGAGCAGTGACATCTTGTGCTGTTTCACACTCAGTCATGACATTGTGTAGAAATGAGGGACGAAAAAAAAAAGAGAGGGAAAGCGAAAGATGAGAGGACAGAATGGTTATTTCCAAGAATGTGGAAACGGATAAACATAAATGTAAATTTGTATGCTTTAAACAGGTGCATTTGTGGTCGTATTAGTAATTAGGTCAATGACAGATGGAAAACACCCTAAAGATGCTTTGTTGTAGTAATAACAAGTGTAATAAAGTCTATTAATTGAATTAATTAAGCATAATGAAATAATTTACATAGAACTTTTGCATAGAACCAATTTTTATTTTTATTTTAATTTTTTTACAAAGATCACTTCTGAATCTTTATTATCAAGAACTGCACCTGTTCAGTTTCTGGTTACTAAATATGATTTATTTATTTATTTTAGTAAATCAAGATATTGGCACTCTAATACTGGAAGTCTCTGCAGGTTTCTACCTGTTTTTTTTCTTCCACACAGTGCATTAGATCCCAGTTCAGTTCTCAACAAGATGCATTGAAAGCTGCTGCTTATATGCAGAAATGTTGCACAAACCTGGAGACGTTCGGATGAGGTCTGGTAGAAAATGATTTCTATATGTATGCATATTTCACTATATACACGACAGAGATCTATCATCACAAATATATCATTTTCTGTCTTTGTGCACCAGGAATTGTCTTGAGGTTCATTCTAAACTTCTGCTGTGGGGTGCATTTCCCGCTGTTCAGCTGAGCATATACCCTCATTCGAAGTCGGCGCGAGCAGCTCTGCCTATTAAAATGTAAATTCCCTCTCGGTGCAGCAGGCCCAGACTGTGGAACTCAGCGGGTGAAGAGGGTGTGTGTGTGTGTGTGGTGAGCCTATTTTCCAGCTTGGTCTGCTCTCTGGATTGGCAAGATGTCACAGTACAAAAATAGATGTTCATTTCTGTTCATAAATGCATAAATACTGTTCACATACTTTTTCATTAAAGTTAAATTAAATTAACTACTGTGCATAGCGCAGCTGTATATGTGCAAAATAAAAAGATAGCAAGAAAAGTAATATATATATATATATATATATATGTATATATATATATATATATACTATATGCCATTTTGTACAGTATATGCCAACACTGAAGGTAAAAAAGTGTGTGTTTGTGTATGTAATAATGCAATATATATAATTTTTTTAACCTTCAGTGTTGATTTGTACCTCACGTGAAAAGGTTTTAGCAGAGAATCTGATCATGTTCTTGTCATTTCTCATAGTAAATAGACTAAGAATGGGAGAGAAATATATTTGCATGTTGCAATTGTTAAATAGTGCTTTGTTATTTTTTCATTTAATAGACATAGATTCAGAAATAGGGTCTTAGGGTCTCAATAACTCTGTCAGGACAGTCAGTAAAAGTCATTAGTGTGCTTTGTACTTTCTTCCAGTAGATGTTTGGTTTCTTTTATTATTTACAAGTCCTCTAGAAAAAGTTGTGCATAGAAATAGAGATAATTTTAACTGAATTGCTCGTTTAGCTATTTAAAAAGAGTGTCTATACTTTTGAAGGTTAAAGAATAACTTCTAATGGAAATTTGATGTAAAGCGTGTTGCAGAGATCATATTTGTGTCAGTTCAATTCACTGCCATTTGTTTCTTGTAGATTGCACTAGGTGGAGCTGTGATCTTTTGGTAGAGGGCCACTGAGACGTGTGTGTGAGAAAGAGAGAGGGAGAAAGAGTGGACAGGAGAGCTGGAATGGCTCTTTTTTTTCTCCTTTTTTATATACCTGGTAGGGGCTGTGCAATTGCAGAGGCATACTTCCGTGACCCATTGGGTAATTAGAAATAATAGAGCGTACTGTGAAAGACCCAACATTCAGAATTAATCGATTACTCTTGTAGTATTAATGTATGACTGTGATTTGTGGTGTGTCCAAACGGAGAGTCGCTGCAATGCATTGGAGACCCCAATGCAGAAGTACCCACGTCCCCAATTCAAAAAAGAAATGCATTTAAAGTATTCGGGAACTAACAAGGTTTTAATTAGTTATACGGTTGACACAGCCTCCAAAGTGGTTGAAACATATATACTTCATTTCTTGAATGCATACTGTTGATGTTTTCATAATGATGTATTCAAAGACAGTATGACTGGTTGATCTGGAGCAAGTGACTGTGTTTACAGATGTGTTGTGTTTGATTGGTTAATGG